CATTGTTTCACTCCGTGTGAATATGTTTGGAATGAACGAGGAAACGATCATCAAAACATATCGTTTATCCACTATTGCCATTTTGGAGCTGTTGGGGGAACTCCGAATGGATTTGGAGCCAGCCACAAGGAGGACCCACGCAATACCAGATATCACAAAATTTCTTGCAACATTGCACTTTTTTGCATCTGGGTCATTCCAGCGTACGGTTGCAGCGAGAGCTGGGATCTCCCAATCTCAATTTTTCAGAAGTGCTGTCCGACGGGGTCGGGGTTCTCCCCCTGCGCCTGTGGAGCAACGTGCCAAATGCTGCGGGGATCTCATCCACAGTCACAGGCCATTACAAAACACCTGTTTTTTTGTTGTTGTTTTTTTTACTGCAGCACATACCACCTTAGGGAATAAAGGTTGCCAATATATATATATATATATATATATATATATATATATATATATATATATATATATATATATATATATTATTATTATTATTATTATTATTATTATTTTTTTTTGTTGGGGGTCACTGTAAGATTTAAATTTCTTAATGCACTAGTAGTTTGTACAGACTACAAACTACTTTGCCGCAAACCACAAAACGCGCAAAACCATCATTTAAATAGGGCGTCTCCAACAGTTTTGCACCTTCCACCAGTTACGCAATCGCTCTTGTTAAATCACCCGCAAACCATGGTTCAGCCCCTCGCGCAAAATTCCAGTTTGCCAGCGCAAATTACTGCACGCAAAATTGGATCTTGATAAATCCGGCCCTTAGTTTCATGGAAAACTAAGTAAACATAATGTGATAGTCTAGCTTAAAAAGTTTTTATTTGCTTACATCTTTTCTTTAAGGGTGTTTTTTTTCTGACACTTAATTGATTTGTTTAAGATGAGCCTCACTTTGTCTATAAAAAGATTTCCCTGCAGAGGGTAGATTGCATATTTTGGTCTAAATCTGTTTTTCCAAAAAAGGAAAATAAAAAAATCCACTGGACTTTCTTTCCAAGTTTGAATTTCTTCCCATCTTGGAAGCTTTTTAAATTCAAACTCATGTAAGAAATAGCATTTTGAGGCTTTATACAGTGGACCTAAAACAAAGCCTCGTTTTGGCTTAGAAAATATGTAAATTGAAATAGACGAACGGGTCTGCCCCTTTGGAATGGAGGTCGTTTTGTTTCTTTGTTAGCCTGTACTATAAATGTAGCCTGTTGTTTTATAACTTTTTCGGAATGACTATGGTGTCATTGCGTGTTTGAATGGTTGTTTTTTCCTGTTTGTGTCTGTGTTGCCCTGTGATGGACTGGCGACCTGTACAGGATGTACCCTGCCTCTCACCCTTGGACAGCTGGAGATAGCCAGCACCCCTCGCGACCCCAGCAGGGATAAGCGTGATGGAAAATGATTGGATGAATGGATGGAATGACTATGACCGGGATGAATGACAATCTACACCAGTTTAAATCTGTTACATTTTAAGTGCTGCTTAAGGGAAATACTTAGCTGATTTATTTATAAGAGTAAACAATATAAGTGAATTTTCTATTATCATTATTGTAAGTGGATTCTACCGAGTTTAGACATTTCTAAAGGCTTTTTGTTTTGGTAAAGTTTAGGAAATGGCTTTCTTTGTCAATCCCTTTTTTAAATAAGGGTAACAGAATAGATCACTGGATCTCTGAGAATAATATCCTAAACCTGATCTGCACATGTAGAAGCAAAGAGAGGTATTCCTTTTAAATGTAAACAAAATAAAGGACCTTTTGGAATGTTAAAGTGGATCTTATCATGTTTTTCACTGACACAATAAATGCCTTTACTGCTTCCCTAAAAAAAGGCCATTAACATGAGATTAACCCTTTCCTGGCATTTGTTTTCCCCAGTTTAACCACTGATGATCAAATCCTAACATCATAATTAGGCTTATCCCACATTTAATATCCTTGCTATTGAACACTTTTATCCAAATTTTGGAATTACTCCAGAGGTTAACCCCCTTTAAATTTCCACAATAGTTTTTATTAACAGGGTGACATAATGTGTATCAGAGGTTTCTCTGTTTGAGGACATGTTTTATAGACATAAGAAGCAAGCAGATGATGAATTCTGTCAATATGCAATACGATCACAGGTTCTAAGTCTTCAAAATCACCATGAGAAGCCATTTTTTTTTAAAAGGAGTTATTCTATTCTAAGTGCATATTTATGTTTTTACCGGCCCTGGTTATTCTACACAGCAGATGTTTAGTAACATGAAAGCCAGCTGATTCAGGTCAGTTACAACTTTGACCAATTTCTAGATTTTTCTTCATAGATCCTTGGATTTTCTCTTGGTTTCCAAAGGCTGATCTTGTGGTAAATTGCTTCAACTAGTAAGGTTGGGTGGGAGTTTTTAAAGACCCAAATACAGAGATGAGGAGCAAAGATAAGTTTGCAGATTTCCATAGGCAACTGAGGAAAAATCCAAAAATACTGAAATGAAATGAGGGAGACGTCAGGGAAAAACATACATAAGGAGCCAGGAAACGACGAGAAACAAAATAATAACAAGAAACCAGCACTAAGAGAAGGCAGACTGAGAATTTCAAAAGGCTTGAAAGATCTTAAAATCCTGCAAATGCCTGATTGAAGGTGAGTATAAGATCAACATGAATGTGAATGAAAAGGGACTGCATAAAAAAATCTTAGTTTCCTTTTACTTTTTTTATTCTTTCTCTGATTTCAATTTTAAACACCTAACTCATTTTGCTGCAGTAAAGTTTCTCACCAGAGTGTTACTGTAACTGTTTGTTTAATGGCTTAATCAAGGAGTCATTAGTGTAAAGCGCTGCATGTCCAGAACCTGTAACATTATCAGCAACTCCTCACACCTGGAATGTTCTCCCTGCTGCCCTCTGGGCATCCTGGAGGACAGCTTTTTTGCCCGCTGCCATCAGACTGTTGAACTGTTGAAACTTTAAACCGGATTTTCATTTACATTTTTTATAAACCCTTTATATAGAACACAACTCAATGCATTTTGCACCATATTTATTTATTTTGCACTGCACTGAACCTTTCCATATGAATGCATTTTGCACCATTATGTTTAACCTGGATTCCCTTTCTCTCTCTCTTCTCTACGGTATTTACATTCTTGATCACTGCTGCCCTTTTGAAATGGTAATGTTCATTTCACTGTTGTAAGCTGTATGCATCAAAATTAAGTTTTTATACACTCTGTGTATGCAAAATGACAATAAAGTTAGTCTAAGTCTAAAGAATACAGTGTTCTCTGACCAATTGTGTTATGTATGGTATCAGAGAACCTAATATTTGTCAGACACACTAAGTTTAACATGTCTATTGAGGATTTGACCAACTGAGCAGGGGCATCTGACAGGACAGGCTGGTGGTAGGCAGGAAACACAGATGAAGGCTGAACAGGCTGCACACTAGGAGGCAGGCAGAGGCAATTTAAAGGTCATGACTAAGTCAGTAGGCATTGAAAACCCAATGAGGGAAGGGTAAGCACAGGAATACAGAAAGGTAGGCAGTGCACACAATCATTGGAACGAAGAAATAGTAAGGGCAGAGCGAGCATAGGAAGCATGCAAGCACTTGGAATGAAGCTCATGCAAGAAACAATACAATCTGGCAGAGACTGACTGTAAGAGGCAGATATTAGTGAGAAGGATAACAGCAGGTAGGAATATGAGTGATTAGGGGAGAGAGACGAGTGTATCAGCACACTCTTATTAGCAGAATGAAGGAAAACAACAAAACAGAGGCAGGCTTCATGAAAGAAATCAAGCTTGAACTTATCTAATTCCAGTTATAAGCCAATATCTGTGTGCACATTTCATTTCACCATTAAGTGTAGAATGAACAAGCTTTTTGAGTTAAAATCTGAACTAATTACCCACATAAATATAACTTTTCCAACCTTTGACCCTAAATTATCCGAATTATGCTTGAGATTTTAAGAGTTAATAAAAACAGCTAGTATTCCATTTTGTACTTTAGGGCTCCTGTTACAGAACTACCTCTGATTTAAACCTGGCTGTATTATTATTATATCTTTTTTGTAAGCACTTTACATTAACACACCTTTAATGCACTTCAAGTATTTTAAAACGGTGAGGGAATAAGAAGTTAAAAAATTAACCAACAATTCAAGAATAAATTGCTTTACTGAAAACAAAGTTTTTTAGTCCTTTTTAAAAGCCGTATGTGGATTGTTGGGCCTTCAGTGTCATGGAGGGCATTCCTCAGACAAGGAGTTGTGCCTTAGAAAGCTCTGTCTCCCATGGGGGGCAGTCTGGTTGTTGGTTTGGGTGAGTGGAGCAGAGGGAGAGTACTGTTGTTGTGAGGTGTGTGGTTCTATGTGGCGGGTTGGGGCATTTATGTACATGATACATTAGGAAAGGTTTGGTATTTAATGCTTGTGAAGATGTGAAACCAGTGGAAGGAAGAATAAATGTAATTTGCCAATAATTTAACTTAGCTGAAAATCTCAGGCTGCGATCGATTGATGTTCAGCAATTTTTTGTCTTCTGTAATGCTTACCCTTCTCGCTTTCATGCATATTGTTCTGAATTCCCCAATATCTTCAGTCCTTAATTTGTAACACATATGCTGTGGCTGATGGTGCTGTAGGAGAATGAAGCTCAACGCCTGGTTTTTAAATAGCATCCTTTCCTGAATCAGCCATTCCTAATATGGCAGAGTACAAGCACACTGGCCCGAAAATATCATCCACCTCCTCACTGGAAATAAAACTTTTCTGTGCTGATTGTCAAGGTTGGCTTGTGATAGGCGTGTCTATGGTGCAATAAAAGCACATAAAAAAAACAAAAACAGATTGTACATTTTACTGCACATAAGGAGAGCAGTACCAATCTGTTTTACTTTGCTGTAGATGAAAATAAGAAGACCTAAGATTAGTTGGGTTTGAATAAAGATTACCGTTCTATAAGAAAATGGAATATGCCATAAAACATGAAAAATTCTTCTTTTGTTAGGATCTTGGTGGGAGCACCTCAGGCTGCAGGGCAGGGGCAGCTGAGGGGAAGTCGACCTGGAGCCCTTTTTCGTTGTCCGATCACACCAGAAGAGTACGACTGTGAGAGGGTCGATATCGACGGAGACAGTGAGTTTGAGCATTTGGCTTAGAAAATTAATCCAATAAATTAATTATTATTAAGTGATCTATGGGAATTTTATATGCTTTTATTTTGCCAAAATTTGGAGGTTGTACAAAATTAGTTTTACAGTGGCAGCCTTTCAAAATGGCCCTTCCCAGTCAAACGCCAGGCAAATCAGCCAACTTCCCTCCAACTCCCAGCAAAATCCCCTCCAACTTCCAGCCACTTCAGCGATCCTCTCTTGTATATTTTTTACTCTGACTCCACCTTTCACTGAATTACAGGGTCTGACCTGGAGGTGACTCTTCTATTTAGACCTTAATGTCCACAAATCATGACAGGAAGAATATTTGAGCACAAATATTGATATTTAAAAAGGAATCAAAGGGGACCAGCCAAGGGCCCATCAAGGAAAGTAGGAACATTTTGAATGGCTACTACTGTATTATCTGTTGGAATGCAAGTCAAACCTTCTAGTGCTTACCCTCTTAAATGAGAAACAGCTGCTGCAGAAACTGAAAGAAAGCATTTAGTAACCAGCTAACAGTCTGATATACTATTAAATAGATGCAATGCTAGTTACTCATATCTTTTTACTCTAAGTTAGAATTTGTGTGCACAAACGTCATGGAAATTGTTGCATTTCCTTTGAGCATGAACACAAAACAACAAAATATGTACCAGAGAACATAACTTTTTTTTTTTTACTCAGTAAATACAATGCCAGATTTGGTATTTCTGATGTTTTCTTAATTTCTGTCTCTGGTTGTATGTGACTACGCTGCTCCTCACTCTCTGCTGCTAGTGCTCCAATTGTGTTATCTGTATCATGAAGCTCCCTGTGCTAAGTTTAAATGGGACTTTCGGCTGCAACAGCAACATTTTGCTTTGATGACTTTGGTTAAGATTAACATACATTGTTTTTACCTGCATATTTCCGTTGTTCCCTTCATCTGCGTCTTTTTGATTATTATCTTATGAAGTTTTCACATCAGCGGCAGTGAAGATCAATTGCCTGCACATACTGACACAGTCCTAAAGGCAAGACATCTGATGAATTATGTCCAACTCACTGAGACGTCTAACAAATCCTTTGTGATTTTTATATCACAAATATTTTTTGAGGCTCAATGTATTGCAAGGTTGAAATCTAATGTATTTAGTCTTCTTGACTATCATAATAATCTCATATTTGTGGCTGCATGATATCATTAAAAGTACACTTTTGAATAGGAAGCCTTTTTAAATTGCCACCTAATTGCAGCTTAAGATGGTTTGAATTCATGTGTGTTTTTGCCAAAAACGGTTTTCGGCTCAGTCTGGGTCCAATAGAAATAAACTTACAGTGTGGAAACCATTAACGTAGACCGATGCTGAAATGTCCTTCTCTGTATTTACTCAGTAAACCTTGACAGAGAGAACAAAGACAATCAATGGTTGGGTGTTTCAGTCAAAAGTCAGGGAATTGGAGGCAAAGTGGTGGTAAGTATTCTACATATTTTTTTAATATAAAGTAACAAAAAGAAAAGTATAAATTTTTTTTAGCTAACCCTACTGACTGAAACAACATATACCACATGTTTCTCACAGGTCTGTGCTCACCTGTATGAGCTAAGACAACGAGTCAGACAACCTTCTGAAACTCGGGATCCCATCGGACGTTGCTATGTTCTCAGCGATGACCTGACAAAGCGAGATGAACTGGATGGAGGAGAATGGAAGTTCTGTCAGGGCCGACCTCAGGGACACGAGCAGTTCGGTTTCTGTCAGCAGGGCCTCTCTGTCAATTTCACTCCAGATAGAAAGTACATCTTGTTCGGCGCTCCAGGAACCTACAACTGGAAAGGTAATGTGTAGAGGCAGCTTTTTGGTTTTTACCAATTTTTCCAAATTGATCATATTTTACAAAGCATCTCCAACTTTATGGAAATGGTTTGGAAATTATTATTTTCTGTTGTATATGATGAAAATATACAGAGATTCTTATAATCAAGTAAAATGTTTTTATTGTAATCTAAAAAGAAAAACGATCAATGTAAATATTTTAATTAACATTCTACTGACTGCAGATCAGGGCTCATGATTTATGGACCAATCTACTGATTGAATACAAACAGTGGCAGACCATAAATCTAATTAAGCTCTTGGATTTATCTAATAGGATAATGAGTTAAATTGATTAGTTTCAGTCGGATATAAAAAAAAAGAAATCACAGAGACAGTGTTTAATACTCATTGCTATTACTAAGTTAATCTAAAATTAATTATAAACTTTAAACAAGGGGACTAAATCGATATCTAGTTATTTGTATAGGCTACATTCACAACAAATTTCCTCGAATTTCACAAAAAAACAAACAGTGTACGGAAGTTAAAGAAAGCTTTGTTTGCAGAAAGTCAAACAAGGCAAAACATGAAAAACCTTTGATTTTGTTTATCTTTTACATTTGAAAATTAAACCAAGTTTAGAAATGTCTAATGCTAAAAAAGAATACCAGTAACAACTTATAAGTTTGACCTTTTTTATTTAGAAAGGAACTAATAATTTAACAAGAACTTTAGGAGAGCATTTACATTACAGGTAAAGTGGAGGATTTTTCGTGAATTTTTGAAAAAGACCCGCCCTCTCCACTTTCCACAACCCTGTACCCGCTCCCAAGAGGGAACACCAATTTTTCCACTATGTCAGACTCACCATCAGTAAGTGAAAAACTGGGACGAGCACCTAGGACAGCCTTACGTAAAGATATATGACCAGAATGATTGACAATTAGGAGGGCCACTTATTTTGATGATCCACCTAGGAAAAGAACATCCTCCACTATACCTTTAAATAAACCAATATTTACAACTAGAAACTTCAACTATAGGCAAACAAACAAGAAGGCCAAAATAGACCTCATGTCCAATGAGTTTATTTTTTATTTTTATACTATTATTTTTTTATTATTATTATTATTTTTTATTGTTTTTTTTTCACTGAGGTTTACTCTAAGTAAAAGCTACTTTTTAGGAGATATAAAATAGCAAATAATTTTGAGCATTTTTCCCCGGCCTTGTTTGATGCCTCAAATTTTTTCACCTGATATATTTTTTTTTAAATGTTAAGTTATTTTCTGATTTCTCAGTAACATACTTAGGGTTTTTGTCTTATTTTTATAGCTTAGCACTTATTTTATGCTGATGGGAAGATGATGTGAGCTGCTGCTAGAACCAGCTCTCTTGAAAAATAATTCACAATTTTATTTAAATAATTGTCAACCTGAACCTTTTTACACTGTCTTTAAAGTATTTCTAAAAACTTTCAGCTTTTTTTTTATTTTTGCTATGCAGCGAATATAGCCTTTGTTGGCTCTATAGTAGGCCAAAGGGTGCAGATGTTTTAAAACCCATCATATTCCCCACAGTATCTCATAAAATAATACCACAGAAAAAAAATCTTCTTTTGTTTTGCTTGTCTACAGAGATCTCTGCTGCCACAAAAAAAAGAAGAAAAAAAAAATCCCCGTAGATGAACAGACAGACCTCATTAGAAATTACCATTCCATTTTGAGTCATATATGTTTCCTATGAGAAAATATTAATAAATATTTTAACAGCAAATATTTTGGAAATCTTAGAGAGAAATAGAGGAAATCAAATTAGGATAATCAGCAGTAAGTTACATGTGTGTGGATGTACAATCCCAAACGTTTGTTGTTGTAGTAATTGCATTTTTTGCTCCTATGATGTGACCCACAGATAGATACTATTTACTGCTTAGGTTACATCTTTATTTCTATTTTTAAAGTAAAATTAGGTGAATACACATGCATGCAAAATTTTTCTTTTTATTTTGAATACAGTTTGAAAATATTTTACAAATTTATTCAGATGATGCAGTAAAATACAACCTTGTATTGTCTGATCACATAGAATCCGTTCGAAATACACAGATATTTGTGTAAACAGTTTAATAGTTGTAAAGCTTTTTCAAGACAATTCATGTAAATGGTTATTCTATATATTCTGCATGTGGTAAAAAGAAAGGACACCCTATGATGATTTTATTTTCTTAATAACATATTTAATTTAGTCTTTAGCAGGTTCTGACATATGAAAACAATGTAGCTGCATCAAAAACTTAAATCTGTAAAAAAAATCCGTGAGTTCAAATGGGTTGTTCTTTCTTTTTCACCAGCAGGCTTGAAAGGTTTTTCTTGTTGCTCTGCTGTGCCTTCACCTGTTTCCCTTCCAGGCGAGATGCGAGTCGAGCTCCTCAACCAGACTGCGCTCGAACTTGATTTCTATGACGATGGCCCATACGAGGTGGCAGATAACAAGGATTTCAATGCACGTCTCATCCCAGTGCCCTACCACAGTTATATGGGTAGGATTCGCCCTCCATGCTCACTGCTGCCCCTGGGCACAGGAGACAAGGAGAGGGCCGTGTGAGGCTGACGTGGGGCTCAGACTGTAACCTGAATAAACACAAGAACAGTAGCTGCAGTTCAACAACCCCTTGCTGGAAGAGGATAAACTTGTTTTAGTGTCACTCCCATTCCCTGGGGATTGTTTCTGACTGAGAATGTGACTCATAAAACCCAAAATATGACTCAATAACTTTCTCATAGTGGGTGGACATGTCAAAAATGCCTGAAGCTGACTGTAGTCTGAGATGAATTCTTTTGATGCCAGTGATTATTGCTTTTCCTGTGAAAACAAGGGAAATATTGTTATACTCCAGCTTCAGTACGACAGTGCTACCCTCATTCCTTGTTCCACCCTCCTCATGAGGCTGGAGACAAAACATGACACATTTTTAAGCAGTTGGGATGCAGTCTGAACCAAAAACGTCATCTTTCCTACACGAACTCTGTGGTTTTGCAGGCAAAAATGCTGCTAAGCCGCAAAAACAAAGCACCAATCAATCACAGGCTGTCTCACCTGCACTGCCCTTCTCTTTTCCTCCCTCACCATTCCACCACCCCATCACCCCCCCCCCCCCCCCACACGCATCCCTTTTTCTTTCTTTCCTTTGCCTTTCTTCTCCTTTTTTTTGGGCCACATAGGGCTCTTGTTCATGGCTAGCGCTGTTGAAGATACACTGGTGCACAAAACTCTGGAGCCTTCCACACCGTTTCAGGACGTAGCTCATCATAGCTACCTAGGTTTGTAGGAGTGGAGTGTTGTGCTTTGGTTTAGGTTGGAGTTGTAGTGGATGTAGTCTCCGTCTTTGTCTTAAGCATTTGTCCTGGGACGTAGGTTTTTAGTAGTTTTTATACCATAATAAAGAGAAACTTTCTTTTTCTGTAATCTTTGATAAATGTATTTGAATACCCTTTCCTTACACAGTTATTAAAGCAGCACTGTGTAAATTTTGAGCAAAGTACTGACATTATTAAATCATTTTTTTAGGAACACTTGCATTGAATCGGTGCTCTATGCAAGCTTCTGTTCGCAAAAACTTTCCAATGTAACTTGAGAGGGTTGGATCATCATTGAATGAGTCATGAATTAGAGCTTCAGTTGTGATAATAAATTGACCAGGGGCTTTTTTCATGGGTGCACTGAACAAGTAATAATAACCAATATAATAAAAAACATACAAAAAAAAAAAAAAAAAAAAAAAAAAAGCAAGAGCGCTTTGTTTAATATATTTAGTAAGCCCAAAAGCCAAAGTTGCATTGCAGACCCCTGATCTAACAGATGTGAGATCAGTGGATATTAGTATGGCCGAAGCGCAAAGCTGACTGTCATTTCTAAATAATTAATTAAATAAATGGTAATGGTAAAATGTTCAATTGGTCCAAGGAATGAATCACTTTGAATTTCTTCTGTCATCCCACAATCAGAAATTGATTTGGTATAAGATGACAAAAAAAAAACTGATCTAAAAATAGATAAAAGACTTTCTGAAATAAGTGTATTTTCCCTTCATATAAATATGGAGATAAGATGATCTATCAAAGGAATGCATTTTACAGATTTTGTTCTCATAATAAAAGTAAATAATTCTATTCTATTTGAAAATTTACTTACATGTCAATATGCTTATTCAAAAAAATATCTTATCTACATAACAGCAAATCTTTTCAGAAGAGGGGTCATAACAAGAACCAGGACCAATTTAACAGGGGCACTAGCCCCCTGTTGGCCCCTGTCTAAATCAGCCCATGCTTAGCTGCCCTGATCAGACTTATTTTCGGTTGTCTAATGCAGGGTTTAATCTTGAGTTACTTGTAGACACAAGTCTTCTCAGTCTGCTGACCCAACGTGGTCTGGTGATCTACTACTAGATTCCAAAATAGGGAGACACTTTGACTGCAACAGTGCAGTGTTATTAGTTGCTTTAAGGGGAGCTAAACCTAGAAGTTACAGATTAGCGCCCCCAGTGGTTAAAAATTACACAGTGTTGCTTTCATGTTTTTTTTTTTTTTTTTCTTCAACAGCTTATCTTTGAGTCAAAAAGAAGGTTTTCTCTTTATTTATAGTAGCACTAGGATGTTTGTCTGTTTTGTCCAGCGTCTTTACTGTTTTAGATCTTTCGTCTGAGTCTGTTTGAGTAAAACTTTCCAGAGCATCTTGGTGGTGGGTTTTCTGTTGATGTTGAGACTTCCAATTAACAAAACTGTGTTCAAGAGTTTAACCTAACAACCAACAGTGAGCATGCATGTACAGACATTTTTCTGATTTAAATTCCATTACAGGTACTGTAACATATAGCTTTTTATCTTTTTAGCCATAGCCTTAATTTAATTTATTTGCAAAGCATTAAAGTAGTGTGATGTATTCCGGGTGATAGACCAATACAAACACTTGCATGGTTGAACAGTAAGACTTTATTACATTATTTTTGCCGGTGATACTGGCCAAGAAGTCACTGATCAGAGATGAAGCTATGAGCCCAGTGGTAAATCTGGAAGAGTTTAAGAGAGTTATATCTAGGTTTGGAAACTGGTGGATAGTGAAACAGGGGCAGGAATATAAATATAGCTACACCAAATTAGGTAAAACAATTTAAAAAAATGGAAGAAAGAACTGTAACATTAGGTTTTGTTATGAGGAAATAAAAGCCTTGTATGGGAAGCTAGATGCATCATACCAACCATGCTACAGAGGCTGCATCATGCTTTGGAAATTATTTTCTTTAACAGGACCAGAAAACCAATTCAACCAATTCACAACACATGTCATCTCAAGGCACTTTACAATTCAACCAGATCATACAGACTGATTGGTTTAAAGTTTTCTATTAAGGATAAGCAGCTGATTGCATCAACTTATTGACTCTTCAGCAATCCCTCACACTACTGTAAGCATGCTTGTAGCAACAGAGGAGAGAACTCCCTCAATGTCAGTTTAAACTATTTAAGAAACTCCTCAGAATTGTATTTTAAATGAAAGAGTTTAAGCTTTATCCCCCACTTCCCAGTTATGCTGCATTCTTTAAAGTCATTATGAAACAATATTAAAATTTTGTGGTAACTCCTTGCTTTGAATGGACACATAATACACAGAAACCCGTTAAAAATACATAGAAAAATATAGAAATTTATTTGTTAAATACATAAAATACACTAAGTAGAAAATATTAACACAGAAATATCAGGAGATGTGTCTTTGTCTGTAGATTATTAATGGTGTGTTGGTCTATCACATAAAATCATCAAATATATGGGAGTTGGTAGTTGTAGAGTAAATCAATGTGAAAAAGGTTAGTGAGTAGTAACACTTTTGGAAGATATTATATATTATATCATTATGTAGGTGTGGAATTACAGTATAATCAATAAAGCTAATTTATCAGAGAATTATTCATCTGGCCAATGCCACGATAATTCGTTGATGGACACTGAAGTATTTTTAAAAAAGTATTAAAATTTTAAATAAAAAGCATTTCATGCCACACAACAATACAGTGGTTGTAGAAGGGGGTAGATATTTTAGATAGAATTTCTTGCATACGTTCAGAGATTAGTTGTATGAGCAATGGAACTACCATTAATTTTTATGTTGCACTACAGTAGGCCAGTATTTTGCAGAATTTCAATGCCTTCTAATCAGAGGAGTAATTACATGTTTGTATTGTGTGATGGGAAAAAAATACAATCTTTGGGTTAACAAGAATCACCAGCTTCCTTTATGCTTCTGATTACTGACTTTTTTAAAGAACATCTTTAACAAACAAACTTAAACCATGTGTAGTCACCTGTTAAGAGGAAGGGGTTACATTTAGTGTTGATTTTCAGTTATTTATTGTGTGGATCTACATTAAATCTCCTTCCATTCACATTCTTCTTACCCCCTGCCTACCTTTGCAATGTTGAGCTGTCTCCTTGACAACGCTAATTCCCTCATGACCTTTTAGCCCTCATTTATCAGTCACATGCTCCCATTGATCCTGCAAAAAGATATGACACACTCATATGCATGCTTGCTAACATTTATACCATTGTTACTACTCTCTATCAGGTTATTTCATGTCACTTTGTATTCAATTCATTTAAAAATGCTTTTAAAGATAAATAAATATAAAGAAATTTACTTTTGTTTCATTTAGATATGAAGAAATTTGAAAAGCAAGGACAAAAATATGAAAGAACCTATAGGATAATTGCAGATGTTTGGATAAAAATGCAACATTGAATCAAATCATACTTATCTAAAATATTTTATTTCATGATCATATGGTGAAACTATAAGAACAACACCCATTTTAGTAGTGTTGCTACTGCTAAATAGTTTCATGCTACTTTTACTTCTAAATAAAGCTTATAGTGTAAGCTGCTTGGTGGTACGCATCTCAAAAGCCTCCGTTTGCTGAAAAAGTAACACCCCGTCTCCATTTGTTGGTTTTAGAGGAGCCACAATGTTAAATTCCACACCTGCCACCCTGGAGTCGCTCTTATTTGTGTCCCCCTAGTCTTTTTTTTTTTGCATGTTTACATAGAGCTAACAAGTGTCCTGTGTGTTCCAATAGATTAACATTTTTATAACAACACTCTGCATGCTTCTTGGATTGTAAAAATGCACAAATTTCAGTAAAAGATTCTGAATGAATTGCAATTTCTGTTACAGCTTAATAAAGGAATACTAACACCATATTTTAAGGAAGTAAATGAACCACTGCAACGGCTTTGGGTCACTTGATTTACATTCAAGTGTTTTAACATTCCTGCACACATAAGCCAACATAGAGCATGAATGAAGATGGAAGAGATTTATTTGGCAATAAATCTGGTTAATGCGCCTCCTCCTTATTTACATACTCCAGCAGTCTGATGCAGAGCTGCAGCGTCATCAGTCTCATCAGACCAGGACATCAAGCGTCTCTTTCTCCCCAAGCCAGTGTGCTTTTACTAGCAGACACAAATACACCACACAGGACATTTAAACACATCATGGCTTTGGCATAAAATCAATAGTCACTTAAGTTACACATTTCATTAACAAGAAGCCAAACAGATCATCCCACAGAGAAGAGCTAAGCTGCTAAACATTACAGCCAATACTAACATCCAAAACCGGCTCTGCTATCTTTCTATCTTTTCTTCTTCTCATCCTTCTTTCTCTTCTTACACCAGGGTTTTCTGTAGACTCAGCAAAAGGTATAATGAACCAAGAGGAGCTGACCTTTGTGGCCGGCGCACCACGTGCCAATCACACAGGGGCTGTTGTGCTGCTGAAGACGGACAATGTGCACCGACTTGTGCCACAGCACATCTTTTGGGGGGAGGAGCTTGCATCCTCCTTTGGATATTCTGTTTCCACTGTTGATCTCAACAATGATGGGTGAGGAAAAGACAATTTATAATTAATTGTGGAATATTATTAGAGATACTTGATATATAAGAGAAAAATCATTCATACCTTTTAGTTTTATTGGTACTTTAGAGAATAAACTGACCCAAAGCAAAATATGAAATCATAAAAAGCTAAATTGTTATCAAAGAACTCTAGAAATAACGTCCTAAAATTAAGGTGTAAACAATTTCCCAGCCTGCATTACTCAAATACCCCTCAAAAAATTTACTGCAACAATATACCTTCAATAGCCACTTGTTTGTAAGTTATATAAAGTCTAAATAAAGTTGGTTTGTGAAGGACTTCGAGGTATCTTAGTGAACATTTAAAGAATATTCACAAAAACCCCAACGAGAAAAATAATCGCAACCAGAGAACCAAACAACAGAGAACAAAATGATTTATCTAAAAGTAGAATTAGTATACTCAAACTGCAAACACATTGTTGTCAACCTAAACTGACTGAAGACTGACAGTATTTATCAATGGGTTTTTAACGGGTCAATGGAAGCTCTGGTTTCATTGCTGGTCTCACTCCTTACAGCTTTTTAACATTGCTAAGAGCACCTCTGATGACAATTTACTATATGTTTTTGTTTTTTTTTAACAATGAAATACTAAGCACTGTGCAACATTATTTGCTGGTTCAGGTATGGGGTTTTGAAACCCTAGCTAGCTGGACATTAAAAGCATCTTAGATAATAGTATATACATAGATAACAATTGAAAATAATAAATAATTTCATAATTTTTCTATGGTAATGGCATAACTTTCTTTATTTGTCATTTGTGTATTTAAATGCTTTAAAAAAAGCTTTTTAATACCTGACAGAAGAAATATCCGAAACTGCTTCAAAGTCTGTATTCTTAACAAACGGCTCACAGAGAAAGGATTTAGTGAATTTGTTTCATTTGATCATGGCTAATTTCTTAAGTAAAGGGCAGAATCGTTTCAATATGTGACCAACTGCTTCTGTTTCTGCTTTTAGGTGGACAGATGTGATTGTTGGGGCTCCTAACTTTTTTGACCGTAAAGCAGAGATTGGAGGGGCTGTTTATGTGTATCTAAACCCCTTTGGTCACTGGACTGATCAGGCCAGACCAATCCGCCTGAACGGGACATATGATTCCATGTTTGGGATGACAGTCAGCAATATCGGTGATCTTGATCAGGATGGATATGGAGGTGTGAGCAACGTTGTTTTTTATTTACTGAGCCTATGTGTTAATTGTGAATTTCAATTAGAAATCCCATATAGCTTTAAAAACAAGTTGCTTTCAATTTATATACTGAGCCTAACGTTTCTGTATCCAAATGTTTCTGTGTTTGCAACTTTTTTGCTGCTTTTAACAGGTTAAATTGACCTTATTATTTGGGCTTTGGGAACTTATATTATTAAATCAACTTTTTCTAATATTTTCAGATATTGCAGTGGGGGCTCCATTTGATGGAGATGGGAAAGTTTTTATCTACAGAGGCTTGGAGACTGGAATTGAGACAAAACCGGCTCAGGTGAGTTTTTTCGAAGGAAAGTTTTAAAGTATAAATGAAGGAAAGTGAAGCTCTTTGTAAATATAATCTATATCACTTTAGGTTCTGGATGGCCATGACTTTGATGTGAAACGTTTTGGATACTCCATCTCAGGAGGTCTGGATATTGATGAGAACCACTATCCAGATGTGGTTGTCGGTTCTCTTAATGACTCAGTTGTTCTCTTCAGGTAACAGAAAAACAATTATTGAAATTACATCCTTACAGTCATTTTTCCAGCAAACCCCTAAAATGAATTCAAAGGTCAAATCTTTAATTACTTAGTGACTGTTTTATGCATTTGTTTTTAATCAAAATGTATGTGGTTGTGCTGGCAACTACTCAAAAAGGACATTTAACCAGATATACTTGATTTACTGCAACTCGATGCATCTTACTGTTCTGTTTCTGTGTCCTGAAGGTCTCGTCCAGTCATCCAAGTAACGAGAGATGTTACAATCGACCCTCAATATATTGATTTGGAGCAGAAGAACTGCAAGGGGAGAGAGGGATTCTGGTAGGAACCTATAATGTGAAAACCTTCTATGATGACTTATTAATAAGCTGAAGGCTATGTTGCTGAAAAAAAAACCTTCTGGCAATATTTAACAATATTTAACTTTAACTTCCTTTTAGTGTCGAGGTTCAGGCCTGCTTTATGTTCACTGCACATCCTCATCACTACTCACCACATATTAGTAAGTATAATCAACACATTCAGCTTTTTATTGTTTCACATATCTTTTTATACCTTATCAAATATACTATGGCGAATTAGAAACCTTTCTTCATATTAGAGTTGCGCGATTATATTCAATCTTGATGTGTCATGAACTTGTTGACCTGTTGTTTTACTTTATTATTACCAAACAACAAAGGAAAATTAATAAAAAAAATCTTTCAAAGCAATTCTTAACAAAATCTTAACACAATAAAAACAAAATTAGCACACAGCATGACGTGTGCACCAGAGGGGATCGATTAGCCCACCTCTACTTATTATAGGTGTAACGGCATTAAAATAGTAAAAAAGGTAGACATCTATATATTGGTTGTTCTGAATTCGTTTTGCTGGATTATTTAACGTTTTACACCTTTTCTTATTTCTTTTTGCATTTCTAAGCCCTAGTGGTTCAGTTTGAGGCAGACATGGAGCGCAGAAAGCTGGGTCTCCCTCACCGTGTCGACTTCCTGGGACGCAGCTCTCTGGACCCTGAGTACACACAGACAGAAGAGGTGGAGCTTCATCGTCAGCGCCATACTGCCTGCACCACAGCCATCTTCCAGCTGCATGTTAGTCACTAATTACAACCCCTTTATTTTTTTATTCTTGCAGTCAATATACTAAAAAACATATTCATATTTTTGACTAAATATTCTTGGTCATGTTTGTTTCCCGTCCAAGCAGGAAAGCATTCGTGACAAATTGCGTCCCATTTCATTGGCAATTACTCACACAATCAAGCCTGTGCCACCGCGCAGGCACTCTGCGAAGAAAGCGCAGAAGCTACCACCTGTACTCAATATCTCTCCATCTAACACGTTACATTCTGAGGTATGTGGAAAAAAAGGTTGTAATAAAGCTTTTAGGGAAAAACTTGAATAAGAAAGAGTTTCTACAAGTTGCATTCTTTTTTTTTGTTTGCTTTTTATCTCAGGTGAACTTCCTGCGACAAGGATGCGGCAGCGACAAAATCTGTCAGAGCAATCTGAAGCTGAGCTACCAGTTTGGAACCAAACCCCTCAGCTCTGACTTCTTCACCCCTCTGCCAAAGTAAATTAGTCTGCGAACAGGAAAAGTTCAATGATGCATCTGCAAATCAAAATCTACCTCAGTATTAGCCTCATGTTGCTATACTTTCCAAAGCTTGTTTAATCTGCTAATTTTAAGCCTTTTAAATGTAGTTTTAAATCTTTAAAACTGTTCCAAGAAGTTGACCCAAGTTTTACTTTGTCTTCATACAGAGATGATGATGGCGTGCAGGTGTTTTCTCTGTCTGATCAGCGACTGGTGGTGCTGGAGATCACCGTCACCAACATGCCTTCAGACCCTCTGAACCCTGAGGAGGATGGTGATGATGCTCATGCTTCCCAACTGTTTATCTCCCTTCCAGACGCGTTACCTTATGCTGGCTCCAGGGTCCCACCACAGGTAATGTCTGAAAGTAACATTTATAGTTATCCCCATGTAATGTAATGTTGAGTATCTTCTCTGACTCTAAGTCTTCGATGTTCCGTCTAACCATAGATGATATGTCAAGCCAATCAGAACGGCTCCCTAGTTGAATGTGATCTTGGAAACCCTGTCAAACGAAATGCAAAGGTAAAAACCTGTTTCTTTTGTCTAATCATTAGAATATGCTGCAGTGTAGAACAATTTTATAAAAAAACAAAAAACAAAACAAAAAAAAACAAATCTATTATTACCAGTATAGAAAAGACAGAAACCTCTGCCTGTCTTACTAAAAAATAAATTCATATCTAATTTGAAATATTCCCCGTTTTATTCCAGCTAATATTTACCATCAACCTGAGCACATCAAACATTACCACAGAGACCACTGAGCTGACAGCAGATCTCCAACTGGCAACGTAAGCCTCTATTATCCACTGTGAAACAACCAGGGTTTAAAGGGTAAATACTTGTGTCTATTTAAGAAGAATATTTCTTATTCTGACTTGTTTGTTTTACTCTCTGCAGGATCAGTGAGCAACTTGATCTGGATCCTGTCACAGCTTATGCTAAAGTTGTGATAGAGCTCCCCCTGTCTGTCAGTGGGTGAGGAAACAGTTTTATATATAAAAAAAATTTTCTTTGGCTTGAAGGTCATAAAGTAGTTTAAATATTGTAAAGTTTACAGACATTTGTTAATATTTGAAGGCAGGTAGTTGCAACACATTTGATTTAGGTATATTAAAGAAAAGGTGGCAAGAGGGTTTTATAGATTAATTTCCAGAAAAGTGAAAAATATGCATAATTTGTCTTAATCTTCAAAATTATCCCCCACTTTGTGTTTACAATAATATACGCTGATGTTAGCAGCTGTTAAAGAGGTAGGATTTTATGCACACCTGCTTCCCAAAGTGCTGATGTGAACATTCTTTTGCATCAGACTGGCTCGTCCTCACCAACTGTTCTTCAGCGGGATGGTGAAGGGGGAGAGCGCCATGACCAGCCTGGAGGACATCGGCAGCCCTGTGGATATAGAGCTTGTGGTGAGGGAGGAGCTGTGAGCAAGGGCTGTGATGAATTGTTGTTTTTGTGATTATTAATACAATTCTAATCCGTTAGGGAGGTTAGAAATGCAGATACTTATTGAATTAAAACAAAAAACCAAACAAAAATATCTGCAAAAAGGAAACCTTGCAATTATTTTATGTTTTCAGATTTCCAATCCTGGAAAAGCTCTCCAGACTCTAGGGTCTGCCTTCCTCAACATTATGTGGCCAAGTGAGTTGGCCAATGGGAAGTGGCTATTATATCCTGCAAGCCTGAAGTTTGAGGACCAACCAGAAACTTACTGTAGTCCTTCTGAGGCTATAAATCCTCTAAAACTGAGCTCCTCAGCTGCTGATCAGGTGGTAAGTGGCACTTTAGGCTCAGTCAGCTGTTCTCTAACCAATGCTTGCATCAAATTTTTCAAATCTTAATGTTTTTTTTAACACTTGGACTATTTACAGGTGGGTAGAAGTCGACGTTCACACCCAGAGGAGAAATATCTAGTAGTGACAAAAGACAGTGATGAACGCACCACACCTGCTGTCGCAGCTTCAGAGAGGCGCAAGTCAATAAAACTGGTAGGGACAAGAAATGGAGGCTAATTATTACAAATACACTAAGAAAACCAAACAGAAGTGGAATTTTAATACTTAAAATATAAAGGAAGTTGTTTGTGGTTTTTGTGTTAGATGAATAATCCACTGCAGAGTGTTCAGCTCTCGTTTTGCTCCTTAGGATTGCCTCCTAGGCTCGGCCCGCTGTGTGCTGTTTCAGTGTCCACTCCACAGCTTTACCGGCCAGACTGTCCTCAAGATCCATGCCAGGCTGTGGAAGAGCAGTTTCATAGAGGTAAAAAGAATATATAAAACAATAAAAAATCCAGTCCTTTATCTTTAGAGGAGGAATTAATTGTTATGTGCTTTTATCGATCAGTGCTTAGTAGGCCAATACTTGCATGGCTGTAACTGTATTTTCATTTAATTACCCTGGAGAGTGAGGTACAGATTACTAATAAAAAAAATGATAGGGAATATAGTGTAATGGGTTCATCTGAAGTCTTTGTGTCTCTTTAAGTAAAGCGTGTGCAAATTTCAACCAAAAAACTTCCACATTTGAACAATTAGAATTGTTTTTTTAACTTTTAAAGTTTGGACATTATCTATGTCTCCCAGGATTTTCCAACAGTTAGTGCTTTGGAGCTGTTGATCAGAGCCAACATCACTGTGAAGTCCAGCATCAAACACCTGGTCCTCAGGGAAGCATCTGTACAGGTACTCAACTCACCACTAACAAGAAAAGTATAAATGATCATAATACACATTTAAACAAATGAAAATCTGAAATATTTAATATTTGGGTACAGTGAGCCGGTAAAAGTGAACCTCAAAGACATTAAAGCACACAACACATAAGAAATCTAAAAGAAAATTATACATCGCATTAATTGCACATTTTACTCTCTCCTACCCACCAGATCCCAGTAATGATCTACCCTGAGCTTGGACTTGCAGACCAGTACTTGATCCCCTGGTGGATAATTCTGGTAGCCATTTTGGCAGGCATCCTGCTGCTGACTCTCCTTGTCTGCTTATTGTGGAAGGTAACCTACAGGATGTCTTTATCTCATGCATTTTACTCTGAGCAGCTGTGTAGACCTCTTTATAGTATGGATTGTCCTACTTCTATTTTTTATTTTCAGATAAATCACTAAAAGCAACTAAAGTTCAGGTCATGTATCCAAAACAAATAATAGAAAATAACTGATTAAACAGCAAAAAGTGTATCCCCATAGTGAGCTTTACTGGAAATCTACATTTTGTACATTAACTCACTCATTAACACATGTTTTAGTTAAGGGTCAGCTCATTACATTGCATTATTTCTGAAAGGTTTCTTGCTTATCTTTTTGCTGGATAAAAGCATCTTATTAGAAAGTTAAGTGGACAGTACATATGTGGCAGTAAAAAAACAAACAAAATGCTTTAATATATAATGCCTAAGAGTTTTGGTGAGGATCACATGCTAGGACATGCAAATAGAGCTAGAGTTTTTTTAGCAGACCAGACACACAGACTTATCCAGGACATGCATTTCCTGTGTCAAGCCACTGCTAAACTAGAGGCAGTGTTAGAAGCTACTAGTCTGGAAAGAAGAAGCTGTGCATGAGCTCCAAAATGCTTATTTACGATGAAAGGTAATTTTGCATTTTAATTGAAAATTAATATCTAAAACACATAAAAATATTTGAATGTCAACATAGTTTATCGAGATGCACCAATTAAATATTCTGGAATGTTAGATTCATTCATTTAGCCTTTTTTTTTATGTTCATCCAGCCTTTTTATTCACATTCTCTCTTTTAGAATTATAGTTCTTCTGCTTTCTCTCCTTTCTATTTTTTTTTTGTATCATCCTTTCTTTGAACCTGTCCTCATTTTTCTGTTTCTCCATCTCCGCCGCTGTGGTGATCTGATGCCTCAGTGCGGTTTCTTCAAACGCAGTGAGCGACGCCCGCATTATGAGACGGAGTACTACCGCGCCCATTTGGGGGTGCAGCCCTCGGAGGCGGAGAAGCAGGCATCAGAGCTATAATATTAATTATATTTCCATCTGGCCTGCTCTCCCCTCCTCCTCTCTCTCCAAGCGGTAAAACTTTTCATCGTTTGCTGCTTTGCCCACTCCAAGCATTGTACATAACAGCATGAAACAGAGACAGAGTGCTGTCACAGAGTGACGTGATTCTTACCCTTGCAGGTATTAATGCAGCAAAGAGTATAACTAACAATAACAAATCCCCTTTGAAACAGTCCTCAGAACTTGTATTCCACTTTCTCCTATTAGATCAATCCAAATCAGAATGTGGATTTTAGCATGTGAAATGCTCCCTTTATTAAGGATTGCAACTTAATTGGTGCTTGTTGAACATCATCCAGTTGTCTCTGCTTCAGGGCTTTGGGCTGCCTGCTGTGCTGTGTGCGGAACCTCTCACTGGTTAATGACCTGCACCTGTTCATTCTGGCATCAGTGTGGAGACAAGACATTTCATGAAAAAAAATGAACATACATTTTTTAAACCATGTTTAGTTTACAAAAAAAAAAGAAAAAAACTTGCCAGGATGAATATGACATACAAATGCTGTGTGTTTTCATTCTTTTTTGTTTTTTTACGAGATATGTGTTTGATAGATTTTAAATGACTCGCTTCTTTATATTAGGCTCATAATGCTTTAAAACAGAGGGCATTGCAGGTACTTATCTGGCGTGGATCTTTTTTTGACTACAGGTCAAGTGGCTTCATCTAGGTATGATTAAATGTCTAGTGGAGGATTTTCATGAATTTTTGAAAAGACCTGCCCTCTCCACTTAAAAAAAAAAATACACATGCACAACCCTGTACCTGCTCCCGAGAGGGAAAGCCCATTAAAGGCGTGCAAGCCCATTTCTCCTTGTACACGCTCTGTGTAAAAGTTGCTGTTTGCATCACTCATACAAGCTTAGTTTCCAAAAGCAGATTAAAATTTTTTCCACTATGTCAGAATCACCACCGGTAAGTCAAAATGGGGAGGAGCACGTCAGACAGCCTTACATAAACATATTACCAGAATGATTGACAATTGGAGGAGGACCACTTACTTTGATGATCCACCGAGAAAAATAACATCCTCCACTATACCTTGACATTTGATACAGGAGCCTTGAAATCTGAATATGTAAATCAGTTCCAACATTTTCATTGTTCTTTTTTCCTTTTTTTTCTTTATATCTCCTCCGCATCTTCTTTTAATGTACTCCCCTTCCTGTGTGGACAGTGTGGCTTCTTCAGACGCGCAACCTACAAAGACAAACTGCCCCAGTACCATGCAGTGAAGATTCCTCGGGAGCTTCGGCCACAGTTCCAAACTGAGAAGTCTGAAAGCGTCCAGAAAAAGGAATGGGCCACACACTGGAGTGATGGGACCTTGTAACTTTGAAGAATTTGAATCACTGTGTCTGACACTCATTCTTTCTTTGCTTTATAACTAACTGATTTCAAAAGAAAAAAAGAAAAATGCACCAAGACTGGGATCATAAGATTATGTGGATGTCAGAAACATGCAAATAGTGGCTTTTGGGCAGATCTGCATTCTTTAAACTGCAGCTCATTAACATCTTGGCCTCAGATATTCTGTTTACACTGTGCATCCACTATTTCACAGTTTGACAGCGGGCATCGAAGGCTCGCAACAAGATTAGAACAAGCATAGCTGCTCAGTATGTTTTACAGCCTACACAAGGGAGCGTTGACGCTTCGCTGTCTGTCAGCAGTTTTGACTGGCAGATCAAAGGAGGACTGGAAAATCAAAGACACTCATGAATGCACAAACATACAGGACAATATTAGATGCCAACAGACATGCAGATTGATGCAGAGGCCACATGACAAAGACTACTTTTTGCCTTAACTACTGGGACTAGAGAATGAGAAAGTAAAAGAGCTTTTTAATGAAAAGAATGCCTGGAAATAATTGTTTTGTTCGTAATAGAGAACAAATTGCATTTTTCTGGCTACTTGAAACAGTAATACAGGTGCATCCCAGTAAATTAGAATAACATTATAAGAGGAATTTATTTCAGAAATCCAGTTAAAAAAGTGGATCATATCTAAATTCCGTCAAAGTAAAAAAAAAATAAATAAATAAAAAAATCCCCTGGACTTGATTTCCAAGATTTGAAGACATTTCGCCACCGATCCAGGAAGCTTTCTCAATTCAATTCATTTGAATTGAGAAAGCTTCTTGGAGAGGTGGCGAAACATCTTCAAATCTTGGAAACCAAGTCCAGGGGATTTTTTTTTAACTTTTACGGAATGACTATGACCTGGATGACTGAGAATCTTCATCAGCATCATATCTAAAGTAGTGAGATATATTTTTAGAAGAGTCTGGCTGCAGACCTGCACTGTCAGGACCCTTGTTGCAGACCTGCAAAATGGGGTCTCCTGCACTTTCATTACTGAGAGTTTATTCCAGAAGTTATATTTGAAGCCTTTGGGAATAGCGTGCAGCATGTGTTTGCTGTGTTTGTGATAGTGTTAAACTGAGCATAGGAGCATTTTAGCGAAAATCTTCTTAGGACAGCCAACCTCCATTGTCGTTTAGAAAATGTTTTATAGACCAAATTAAAATCAACTTTGCTTTTACTTTGAAAGTCTTCGAATAAACTTCCGGTTCCAACAGCACAGGAGACCTCACAGTGCCGTCCTGACAGTGCATCTCTGGGTCCTGACTGTGCATCTCTGGGTCCTGACTGTGCATCTCTGGGTCCTGACAGTTCAGGTCTATAGTCCCACCCTTCTTAATATTTTACCTTTTTTTTTATCAGTTTTAATTACAATGTCTTGCTTTAAGCTGTTAAAAAACTTGAAATGAACCCTTTATATATAATGAATCTATTAAATGAAGATGTTCCTCTCAGATTCAGTTACTGAAATAAATTGTTTAGATTTTAATTTGAAATGCAGCTACATGCTCACTTTTTTTTGCTGTAACCTGACTAAAGAATAACTCTGTGTAACTGTTTTGTTTTAGATTTTTTAGTTATAAAAATGTGTAAATATATGTTTGCATGAAATCAAATGGGTCAAAAAGGTACACTGCAAAAACTGAATCAAAGTCAGTACATTTCTCTTAAAATAAAGGCATTTTTTCTGAAATTGGGTAATTGAGACATATTGCCAATATATTACAGTAAATTACTTTTAAAATAAGAAACATCTACTGTCTCTTATTTCAAGTGCATAATATTTAAGTATCATATTTAAAGGGTAAAAAAATCTTTCTATTTGCACTACATCTTATTTACCTACTCAAATTAAGGGTAAATACACTTATTTTGAGTAATTTGTACTCATTTTTAAATAGGTTTTGCAGTGTAAACAATATTTTAAAAAAGGCTTTCTTTTTTTTCTTCGGATAACTGCATACATAATTATTTTGCCAAAAGCAGAATGTCTAGAGTACTTCTTTAATATTTTAGAGTGACTTTTTTTGCTGTAAAGAATCCATCATATTTTTCATCAGGCAGTTTTTGGGTTGTGCAGCAAATAAAGTCATTTTCTAATTTATATAATCTAATCTGTCTTGTTGATGCCTACTGAAATGAATTTACAGGAACTTGAAGAATATCAGCACTGATTTTTCTCATTTCAAACATGTGCCTTATTGTAAACGTGGCAGATGGAGAGCTGCTGCTTACAAACGCAAGGCTACTGCTCATTAGATGAGAAATCTGTTGGACACAGGTGGACAACATCCTTCAGACACTGAAGCAACACAAAGAGGATTTCCTTGTTTTCTAAAAGAGCAGCAATTGGAGGACAAACATTTTTTCTGGATTTGTTGGAATCAGTAACCTGATTTTAAAGCATGAAGAGAGTTTGGATTTTTAGGTATTGCTGGACAATCGTTTGTGTTTTTTGCATGAAGGTCCCACTGCTCTTCTGAAGTCTGTAACTGTGGTCATTTTTATCGCCATTTATTGTTCTTTTATTTATTTTTGTTTGGCTGTAATGGTTCAACATTGTAAATAAAGACAACTGGTTTGCGAAATGTGTCACCTGTAGATACTGTTTATCTTCAATTGTACAAAATTAATAAAAAAAAAAAAAAAAGGCTGCAGCTCATTAACACACAATGGTGTCAAAAGTACACATTTTTTACTTAAGTAGAAGTATAGATACTGCTGTTTAAAACCACTCTTGTAAAAGTATCAACTTGACCTCTTAACTCAAGTAAAAGTAAAAAAAGTATGTGCTCCTAAAACTACTTAAAGTATAAAAGTATAAGGTAACCTGTAAATAAACAGCCAGATGCCACTATATGAATTAAAGCTAAATTTTAGACTATTTCTAAAAACTCTTTGAGATAGGGCCAAGGATGAGGGAGGTCTTGTTGGTCTCCATCTCCCGATACGCTCTCGCCTGTGTCCGACCTTTCAGACATTTCAACATCTTTTTCTGAATCTGACATTGTAGCATGGTATAGACAATTCACATTTGCAGTTTGAAGAACACCTGCTTGCTTCTGATGATTTCCTTTGGCGTCAGCACAAATTTGATGAATAGATAACGAGTGTTTGAACCTCGAATGTTTGCATTATATGACTCCAATGACACTAGTTTTTGACTAGATGTGGATGGCGCCAATGATCTGCATTGGATGGCACATATGACGTGAAATAAATACTTATAAACTTAAACCGAAGCCAAGAGTAACGGGTAACGTTTGTTTTACAAATATAAGGAATAGAAAGTACAGATACTTGTGTGAAAATGTAATGAGTAGAAGTAGGAAGAAAAATAAGTAATAGAGTAAAGTATAGATACCTAAAAAGTGTACTTAAGTACAGTAACAAAGTATTTGTACTTCATTACTTGACACCTCTGTTAACACAGCAGAAGATGGTGGAAAAATAGCGAAAGAGAATAGAATGCACACAAAGTACAAACAAGTAAATTCAGATTTAGTGCAATTATTTAGACAAAATGTAACAACTTATTTATTTAACTATTATCTAACCAAGCCAAAACAACCCGCAGAGCCAGATTGTATCTTTTCTTAAGGGTGACTTGGCCAGAAGGTCAACAACATCAAATCGATAGAAAAAATAAATAATAGTTCACAAATGAAATAAAGTTTATTAAATATGCATGGGGAAGTGCTGAAATGCAATACTGATTAAACATCAGCAAAGTATAGATATAGCACTACTATAGGACTAATATAACTATTGCAGTTTCACACCTTTAGAATTCTTACTGACTATCACTGTTTTGTGGAGGCCTTATATTTAAAATGGGATTAAACGTTTGAAATGAACTAAGTTCAGACAATGTTTGTTCAGTTTGGAAAGTATTCCAGGTCACATGAGCAGAATAACCAAAATGCTTTCCCAATCTCTCTCTGAATTTGAGGATGTTGCAGATGGATAAAACCACAAGTTAACGCTCCATGTTAGCGTAGAAACCAAACCATAAATATCAAGAATGTGCCAATTGATTGTGTCAGAGCAGAAATCTGGGAGAGGATATCAAAACGAAGGTTGGTAGCATTTAAAATATTTGTCTATTGGTTTATCATTAATAGACAAGTTTTAGCAGAATACTTACCTCATGTTTTAGATTAAGCTATTGCTTTGAGTAACATGAAATTTGAGATAATTATTCAAAATCGAAATACGTTTCGGTCGGTGCCGTGGTGGGGCCGGTGTTCTTTGCCCGGCCCTACTTCAGGGTGGCCGGCTGCCTGCGGAGCCCGCGGACTTGCCTCCGCGGCTCCCCGGGGCGCCGGCATGGCGGTGGCTGGGGGGCTTCTTGGGGGCTGTCTCTCCTCCCTTGGTGGGGGTCCGATTTCCGGGGCTGGCCCCTCCTTGGTGCCTTCGCTCTTGGGGTCCCTTTGGGCGCCTGTGACTTTGGGTCTCCCAGCGCTGGACTCAGTGCTCTGGGGGGTGTGCCTCTTCAGCTCCCCACAACCACTATTGAGCATTTTTTCTATGGATAAACTTTACATGCACAAGTGCACCCTCACAAACAATTACAGGTGCTTGGCTCCAGGTACTCAGAGATTCACTTCCATACAGAAAGCCCACATCCGTATCTTCAGGTAACACAGAGTACATGTCAGACTTAATAATATTACTTTAGCGATAGTTTCAAGGTGTTGATTTATTGTATATATTGTGTATATATATCTCGTACCATGTCTTTCGGTTGTGCTGTTTTTTTTCCATCTCGTTACAGTTGATGAAGCAGACTGAAAATGTTTTGTCATTGTCTCCTTTCTCTTCTTTCTTTCATCTGTTCTCTTTATTTTTTCCTTTTCTTCTTCTGGTTTTCTGCTCTATTTACATTGCAGTGTCCATATAAACTGTAAAACTCCCTGCATAATTATAATAAAACAATTTGTATGCATGAAACAAGTGGAGCTATATAGCAATTGCCATACTGCTACACTTGTGAAAGTAAAATCTGTTGGGCTCTTTTTGGCATCAAGACAATTATTCTTATTGCCACATTGCCAGACAGGAACCTGTAAAAAAAAAAAAAAAAAAAAAGAAAGAAAGAAATACGAAATAAAGCAAACGTGTAAAAAGTAATGCATCCTTTAGATGTATGGGACCAAAAATGAATTAGAATCCTTAGAAATTAGTTATCCTTTAGAAACCAATGTTAGTTCAGTTAAAAATCTGTTCTGTTTCTACAAATAGTTTCACATAACTTAAATATAAAGTAAATACAATTAAATGCAATTCCCACTGAGCACTTGATGAGTCTAACTTGGTTAAAATTTAAAAATTACTTGAGGTTTAACAGCTTAATCATTGTTTCCTAAGGTGTTTACATTCAATTTTTAAGACCATGACAGTGATGTGATCTAAGTGGCCTTTTATCTGAGATCTTAGTTGCTATGTAGTATATTATTCTCAATGCCTTGGTTTTTGTCAATTCTTCTAATCAGGAGTAATCTAAATTGGAAAATAATAGTTAAAGACATAAAAATAATTGCAGCATGATCTGGTAAAAAGGTTAATCTGAAGCAATGTGGTTTTGTCTTTGCATGTTTATCCAAGATCTGGGCATGTCAAAATTTACCTGAGGATGTAAAAAAAAAAAGCTAATACCTTTGGTTTCT